CTGGCTATGCCCTGGTCGTTGTGGCCATTTGGGGAGTGAACCAGTGGATAGAAGACCTCTATCTTTCTATATATAACTCTGCTTTTCAAGTAAATATATTTAAAAAAAAAAACCTAAAAACAGAACCTGTGGACAGAACAAAAGAGTAAGTGTTTAGAAAAAAATATATAAAAATGTTGGGGCCAACACTGTGGCGCAGCGGGTTAAAGCCCTAGCCTGAGGCTCTGGCATCCCATATGGGCGCCGGTTCTAGTCCTGGCTGCTCCTGTTCCAATCCAGCACTCTGCTATGGCCTGGGATAGAAGTAGAAGATGGCCCAGGTCCTTGGGCCACTGTACCCATGTGGGAGACCCAGGGGAGGCTCCTGGCTCCTGGCTTCAAATTGGCACAGCTCCAGCCATTGCAGCCATCTGGGGGAGTGAATCAGCAGATAGAAGACCTCTCTCTCTGTCTCTACCTCTCTCCGTAACTCTTTCAAATAAATAAAAATAAAAAATAAAAAAACAGTAACACTGATAAATAAAACAGCTGTTTTTTAAACAAAGCTATAATTAAATGAATAAACCTAATTCAGGAAAGAAAGGCTGTACAAATTAGAAGGAGAAATAATGAAAAATCTGAAGAAAATTCAAGCAATTACTGTGTTTTGTATAAACCTTTATTTAAAAAAGAGAAACATTTGAAGGAATTTTTCTATAAGAAAAAAATTATCAAAACTGATCGCAGAAGAGAAAGTAAATCACATATGTAGAAGAAACTGATTCAACTTAAACTCTTCTCTTGGAAAACAATACTTAGGGCAAGCATCTGGAACAACAACCCGAGATACCCACATGCATTATCAGAGCACTAGGGTCCAAGCCTAGCTCTGCTTCCAATTCAGCTTCCTGCTAAAAAACACAATGGGAGGCAGCAGTTGAGGGTTCAAATACTCAGGTCCTTGCCACTCACATGGGAAACATGGAATGAGTTCCAGGCTCCTGGTTTCAATCCAGCCCAGCCATGGCTGTGTGGGCATCTGGGGAGTGAACCAGCAGATTGAAGATTTCTTTCTCTGCCTTTCAAAAGTACATTTAAATTTAAAAGAAAAATAGTAGGCGCTGGCACTGTGGCATAGTGAGTAAAGCCACCACCTGCACTGCCAGCATCCCCTATGAATGCCAGTTCAAGTCCCTGCTGCTCCACTTCCAATCCAGCTCCAGGCTAATGTGCTTGAGAAAGCAGTAGAAGACGGCCCAAGACCTTGGGCCCCTGCACCCTCATGGGACACCCAGAAGAAGCTCCAGGCTCCTGGTTTTAGAGTGGCCCAGCTCTGGCTGTTGTGGCCATTTAGGGAGTGAACCAGCAAATGGAAGACCTCTCTCTCTCTCTCTTCCTCCCTCCTTCCCTCGTTCCCTCTCTCCCCCTCTGTAACTCTGTCTTTCAAATAAATACATAAACCTTGGGGAAAAAAAGGAAAAATAGGATTGTAAATAAATCTTTAAAAAGGGAGGAATGGCGGTCAGTGTAGTAGCATGGCAAGTAAAGCCAATGCCTGCAATGCCAGATCCCATATGGACACCAGTTCAAGTTCTGATTGTTCCACTCCTGATCCAGCTCTCTGCTAGTGGCCTGGGAAAAGCAGTGGAAGATGGCCAACACTGGGGCCTCTACCACGCAAATGGGAGACCTGGATAAAGCTCCTGGCCCAACACTGATCATTAGAGCCATCTGGGGAGTGAACCAGATGACAACCCCCCTCTCTCATATAACTCTTTCAAAATAAATAAATGAATCTTTAAAAAAATTAAAAATAAAACTAAGAGGATGGGACCAGCATTGTGGCACAGCAGGTAAACCTGCCACAGGCAACACCAGCATCCCATATGGACAACAGTTCAAGTGCTGGTTGCTCCACCTCTAATCCAACTCTCTGGTAATAGCCTGGGAAAAGGAGCAAAAAAAGGGCCAAATGTTTGGGCCCCTGCCACTTGCATGGGAGACTCAGATGAAGCTCCTGGCTCTAGCCTAGCCCAGCACTGCATACTGTGGCCATCTGAGGAGTGAACCAGTGGTGGAGGATCTCTGTCTCTTCCTCTCTTTCAAAATAAATCTTTAAAAACATTGGGGGCCAGTACTGTGGCTTAGTGGGTAAAGCTGCTGCCTGCAATCCCCACATCCCATATGGATGCCAGTTCAAGTCCCAGCTGCTCCACTCCCAATCTAGCTTTAAAAAAAAAAGATTAATTAATTTATTTGAAAATCAAAGTTACATGGAGAGAGAGAAGGAGAGATAGAGAGAGAGGTCTTCCATCCACTGGTTCACTCCCCAGTGACCACAATGGCTGGAGCTGTGCCAATTCAAAGCCAGGAGCCAGGAGCTTCTTCTGGGTCTCCCATGTGGGTGCAGGGCCCAAGGACTTGGGCCATCTTCTACTGCTTTCCCAGGCCATAGCAGAGAGCTGGATCAGAAGTGGAGCAGCCAGGACTCGAACCAGTACCCATATGGGATGCCGGCACTGCAGGCAGCAGTTCTACCCGCTACGCCACAGCGCTGCGCACACACACACACACACACACACACCCCATCTAGCTTTCTGCTAATGGCCTGGGAAAGCATCAGAGGATGGCCCAAAGGCTTGGGCCCCTGTACCCATGCGGGAGACCCAGAAGAAGCTCCTGGTTTCAGACTGGCCTACCTCCTGCCATCGTAACCATTTGTGGAATAAATCAACAGATGTAAGATATCTGATTCTCCCTCTCTCTTTCTCTGTAAATTTGCATTTAATAATAATAAATAATCTTTAAGAATAATAAAGATTGAGCCGGCACCATAGCTCATTTGGTTAATCCTCCACCTGCGGCACTGGCATCCCATATGGGCACTGGTTTTAGTCCTGGCTGCTCCTCTTCTCAGTCCTGCTCTCTGCTGTGGCCCGGGAGGGCAGTGGGGGATGGCCCAAGTGCTTGGGCCCTTGCACCCGCATGGGAGACCAGGAGGAAGCACCTGGCTCCTGGCTTCGGACTGGTGCAGTTCTGACTGTAGCGGCCATTTGGGAGATGAACCAACGGAAGGAAGACCTTTCTCTCTGTCTCACTCTCTCTCTCTCTGTCTATAACTCTACCTGTCAAGTAAGTTAAAAAACATAAATAAATAAAGATTAAAAATTTTAGCATTGTGGTGCAGTAAATTAAGCCACAGACTGTGATGCTATGCAGCATCCCATGTCACAGTGCAAGTTCAAGTCCTATCTGTCAAACTTCTGATCCAGCTCCCTGCTAATGTGTCTGGGAAGAGAGAGAGTGGCCCAAGTGCTTGGGCTCCTGGCACTAACATGGAAGACATCCTGTCATTCTAACTTCTAAATAAATATTTCAGGGGTATAATGGGTGAAGCCACGCCTACAACACCAGAATCCTGGAAGCTCCATTTCTGATCCAGCTCCCTGCTGATGGCCTAGGAAAAGCAGCAGCAAATGATCCAAGTTTTTGGGCCCCTGCTTCCATGTGGGGAGACCCAGATGAAGGTCCTGATTCCTGGTTTCAGCCTGGCCCAGCCCTGGCAGTCATCAGGGGGTGGGGGTGGTTTGAACCACTGAATGAAAAATCTTTTTTAAATAAATAAATCTTTTTATAAATACATACACATATAAATATATAAATAAATCTTCAAAAATATTTTTTCTTTTCTTTAGTAAAATAAATTTCCAAAGTACAGTTTATGGATTACATTGGCTCCCCCCCCCCCCCGCATAATTTCCCTCCCACTCCCACCTGCACTGCCAGCATCCCATATGAATGCCAGTTCAAGTCCCTGCTGCTCCACTTCCAATCCAGCTCCAGGCTAATGTGCCTGAGAAAGCAGTAGAAGACGGCCCAAGACCAAAAAATATATTTTAGAGGTTGGCATTGTTGGTGCAGCAGGTTAAGCTGCCACCAGTAATGCTGGCATTCCATATGGGTGCAAGTTCAAATCCCAGCTGCTCTATTTCCAATCCAGCTCCTTGAAAATGTACTTTGGAAAGCAATGCACGATGGCCCAAGTGTTTGGGCCCCTGCACCCATGTGGGAGATCCAGATGGAGTTCCAGGCTCCTGGTTTCAGCCTGGCTCAGCCCTGGCCATAGTAGCCATTCAGGGAGTAAACCAGCAGTAGGAAGAGCAGTCTCTCCCCATCTGTAAAATAAATAAATATTTTATATACATACATACATATATATGTGTATATATGTATATATATATTAGGGGGGAGATATTTACAGCATTGTGGTACAGCAGGTTATGCTAGCCATATAAGTTTTTTTAATTAATTAATTTATTTTTTTATTTTATTTTATTTATTTTTTTGGCAGGCAGAGTGGACAGTGAGAGAGACAGAGAGAAAGGTCTTCCTTTGCCATTGGTTCACCCTCCAATGGCTGCCACGGCCGGCACACTGCACTGATCCGAAGGCAGGAGCCAGGTGCTTCTCCTGGTCTCCCATGGGGTGCAGGGCCCAAGTACTTGGGCCATCCTCCACTGCACTCCCGGGCCACAGCAGAGAGCTGGCCTGGAAGAGGGGCAACCGGAACAGAATCCAGCACCCCAACTGGGACTAGAACCCAGTGTGCCAGGGCCGCAGGCAGAGGATTAGCCTATTGAGCCACGGTGCCGGCCAGCCATATAAGTTTGAACCCTGGCTGTCTGCTTCCAATCCACTTTCCTGCTAATGTGTCCGGAAAGGTAGCAGATAATGGCCCAAGTATTCGGGGCCTGGCCACTCACATAGGAGACCAGACAGAGCTCCTGGCTCCTGGCTTCAGCCTGGTTCAGGTGTACTGTTGAGGCCATATCAGGGAGTAAACCAGTGGATAAAGAGCTCTGTCTCCCTCTCCCTCTCCCCCTCTCATTCTATCACTATGCCTTTCGAATTAAACAAATTATGTATTTATCACAAAAATAACATTGTACAAAAAACTACAGAACAATATTACAAATCGTTTCACAGAGTTGTTCTGACAGTTCAATAGACAGGGTACTTACCGATGATAGGCTTCACGCCGGTACTTTTTCAGGGCTTGCTTATCCATGTTAGCAGGCATATCTGCTGCATTCTGTAAGCGATCACTCCAGGAAGTTGTCATTTTATTTTAATTGTACACTGAATTCTAGAAAGGAAAACCAGTAATTTAGTAGCTTAAAATTATCATTTATATACTAATATCTGACTTCTTAAAAGTATCAGAAAAACTCTAGCTTGCAAATAACCTAATATAATGACCTATTAAAACACACTGCAGGCCGGCGCCGCAGCTCACTAGGCTAATCCTCTACCTGCGGCTCTGACACCCCGGGTTCTAGTCCCGGTCGAGGCGCCGGATTCTGTCCCGGTTGCTCCTCTTCCAGTCCAGCTCTCTGCTGTGGTCCAGGAGTGCAGTGGAGGATGGCCCAAGTGCTTGGGCCCTGCACCCGCATGAGAGACCAGGACGAAGCACCTGGCTCCTGGCTTTGGATCTGCGCAACGCCCCAGCCGTAGCGGCCACTTGGGGGATGAACCAACAGAAGGAAGACCTTTCTCTCTGTCTCTCTCTCTCACTGTCTAACTCTGCCTGTCATAAAAAAAATAAATTAATTAAAAAAAAAAAAAAAACCCACACACACACACACCACACACACTGCATGGAGCCAATGCTGTGGCGCAGTGGGTTAAAGCCCTGGCCTGCAGGGCCAGAATCCCATGTGGGCACCAGTTCAAGTCCTAGCTGCTCCTCTTCCAATCCAGCTCTCTGCTATAGCCTGGGAAAGCAGTAGAAGATGGCCCAACTCCTTGGGCCATCTTGCAGGGAGACCTGCAAGAAGCTCCTGGCTCCTGGCTTTGGAGCGGCTCAGCTCCAGTCATTGCAGCCATTTGCGGAGTGAACCAGCAGATGGAAGACCTCTCTCTTCTCTCTGGCTCTACCTCTCTCTGTAACTTTCAAATAAATAAAATGAATCTTTTTTTTTTTTTTTTTTTTTGACAGGCAAAGTGGACAATGAGAGAGAGAGAGACAGAGAGAAAGGTCTTCCTTTGCCGTTGGTTCACTCCCCAATGGCCGGTGTGGCTGGTGTGCTGCGGCCAGTGCACTGCGTTGATCCCAAGCCAGGAGCCAGGTGCTTCTCCTGGTCTCCCATGCGGGTGTAGGGCCCAAGCACTTGGGCCATCCTCCACTGTACTCCCTGGCCACAGCAGAGAGCTGGACTGGAAGAGGGACAACCAGGACAGAATCTGACGCCCCAACTGGGACTAGAACCCGGTGTGCCGGCGCTGCAAGGCGGAGGATTAGCTAGCCTATTGAGCCACGGTGCCGGCCTAGTAAAATAAATCTTAAAAAACAAAACAAAACAAAACAAAACAAAAAAAACCAAATATACTGAAAAATATATTGGCACTTCTAAACTATGTAAATTCAGGAACATATTTTTATGGTAATTTCTATCAGAAAAATCATACATATTACTTCCAAATAATGAAGATGACTAACAATAATTATAAGCTTGAACATCAGATTCTAAAAAAAGGATTAAGACCACAGTTTTATGAAAATACATAATTTTAAGATAATATATGCTTTCAAAAGGTATAAAGTGAGCAACTTTTTAATTCTGATCAACATACTAAAAATTCAGTCAATGGTGACACAAATATAAGTAATGAATGTTTGATTTTTAATTATTTCCTACTTTTATATTTTTCTGTAATAAATTATTTTCCAGTTGGCATTAAAAATCATGAACCAAAAGAAGAAATAAATGAAAATATTTCATCTCATTAGGACAGATATCTAAAACAAGGTGGGCTGCTGATGCCTGTGTTCTAAAGACTTTGACAACAGGTTAATTCTTAGGCTTCACTTCTGTTTTTGAAATTTTCACTTGTAAATAGTTTTAAATAAGAATGAAAAATACCACATTAAAGGTTAACATTTTATTAAAATACAAATTTATATGAAAACACCTGGAATCTAACTTACTATTTTGAAAATGCTAACATCATTCCTGACACTCAATTTTTCAATAAACTACCTTTGTAGCTTTTTAAAAAATAATTCATTGAGGTGAAACTGATATAAGAAAATTAACTACTTTAAAGTGAACAAGTTAGTGACATTTAGTATTTTCATAATGTGTGGCCTCCAATTCTTGTCTAGTTTCAAAATATTTCTATACTTCAAAGTAAAACGCCTTACCCATTAAGCAGTTTCTCCACACCAAACCCATCCCTTTAGAGTCTGACAACCACATTTTGTCTTTATCCATTCAGCTCCTGATGGACATTTAGACTATTTCCACCTCTGCCTATTTTTTTTTTAGAAAATTTCGAAAGTACAGCTTTTGGATTATAGTGGGTTTTCCCCCCCATAACCACCTCCCACCTGCAAACCATCCCTCTCCTACTCCCTCTCCCATCCCATTCTTCAACAAGATTCATTTTTAATTATCTTTATATACAGAAGATCAATTTGTATATACAAGTAAATATTTCTACAGATTGCACCTACACAGACACACAAAGTATAAAATACCGTTTGAAGACTACTTTTACCATTAATTCTCATAGTACAACACATTAAGGACAGAGATCCTACATGGGGAGCAAGTGCACAGTGATTCCTGTTGTTGATTTAGCAGTTGACACTCTTATTTATGATGTCAGTAATCACTGGCCTGGAAGAGGGGCAACCGGGACAGAATCCGGCGCCCCGACTGGGACTGGAACCCGGGGTGCTGGCGCTGCAAGGCAGAGGATTAGCCTAGTGAGCCGCGGCGCTGGCTGCAAATACATTGCATTTTTAAAAATATTTATTATTTATTTGAAAAGCAGAGTTATAGAGGCAGAGAGAGAGGTCTTCTATCTGCTGGTTCATTCTCTAAATGGCCACAAAGAAAATCGCCTAAGGCCTGAAAAAGGATTAGCACAATCACTGAAGCTCATACAAGGCTAAGAATGGTTTCTATCCCAATCAACCAGAATGTAAAACATTACCACTTTTCACAGCATTAAGCAGAGTATTGAAAAAGATTTTGTATCTGCAGTAGGGCAAAATTACCCAAACACTGCTCTGGTCCTGTCTAACAGCTTAAATACAAGACCCAAAACTATCAAACTATTTCCAAGCAACTTAACAATGTAAAAAAACAAAACTCAAAAATATTTACAGTAATATAAAAATATCTAACACCCCTACGGTATGAAATTTAGTGTCTAGCATCCAAACAGAATTCAGAAAAGCAAATATAATACATAATGAGGAGAAAAATCAATTAAAACAAACACATAAGTAATGCAGATGATTTAATGCTCAAAGGCATTAAAATTATTTAATTAAAAATATAATTCAAATATCAAATTAATTATTGAATACTTTCTTAAAAATATTTAATTATTTGAAAGGCAGAGTTACAGAGAGACAGGTAGAGAGAGAAGTCTTCTATCCGCTGGTTCACTCCCCCAAATGGCTGCAATGGCCAGAGGTGGGCTGATGCAAAGCCAGGAGCCAGGGGCTTCTTCCAGGTCTCTCGTGAAGGTACAAGGGCCCAAGGACTTGGACCATCTTCCACTGTGTTCCCAGGCCATAGCAGAGAGCCGGATTGTAAGTGGAGCAGCCGGGACTCGAACTGCCATCCATACAGGAGGCTGACACTGCAGGCAGCGGCTTTACCCACTACGCCACAGAGCCGGCCCCAAATACATTTCTTATCTTCAAAGAAGCTAAAGCTAGACTAAAAGTTTCAAGTACAGACATGAAAAATAAAAAAGAGACCCAAACCAAATTCTATAATCACAATTATAATATCTAAGATGAAAAATACAGTGAATAGGATTAACAGCAGATCAGACATTTAAGATTAGTAAATTTAAATACACAGCAGGGGCCGGCACTGTGGTGCAGCAGGTAAGTCCCAATCTGCAGCACAGGCATCCCATATGGGCCCTGGTTCAAGTCCAGCTGCTCCCCTTCCCCATCCAGCTCTCTGCTATGGCCTAGGAAAGCAGTACAAGATGGCTCAAGTCCTTGGGCCCTTGCACCCATGTGGGAGACCCAAAAGAAGCTCCTGGCTCCTGGCTCTGGATCAGCGCAGCTCCGTCCGTTGTGGCCATTTATGGAGTGAGCCAGCAGATGGAGGACCTCTCTCTCTCTGCCCCTCTGTAACTCTGCCTTTCAAATAAGTAAATAAATCTTAAAAAAAAAAAAAAAAAAGACACAGCAATTATAACTATCTAACCTAAAATAGAAAATGACTAAAAGAAAAAATTGACATCAATGAGCTGTGTAACATATGTATTACTGGAGTCCACAAAGGAAAAGAGAAAAAGAGAGAAGAGAGAAAAATATATATATTTAAAGAAATAGGAGGAGGAAGACATTTACATTGTGGCTAAGATGCTGCTCTGGGATGCCAGAATCCCATTTCAGAGTGCATTACAGCTCTACTTCCCAGTGCATCTTCTTGTTAGTACAGATCCTGGCAGACAGCAGGTGACGACTCAAGTGGTTGGTGCCTTATGACTCATATGGGAGACCTAGACTGTGTTCCCAATTCCCAGTTTTGGCTTGGCCCAGCCCTAGCATTGGAGAACAAATCAGGAGATGGGTGAGCACACTCTCTTTTTCTACATCTCAAAATTATTTAAAAATCCAAAAATAAAAAATTTTATAAACACAACAATTAAGACAAGATTATCAGAAATTGGATTTTTGTTTGTTTGTTTTGACAGGCAGAGTTAGAGTTAGAGAGAGAGAGAGAGAGAGAGAGAGAGAGAAAGTCTTCCTTCCGTTGGTTCACCCCACCAAATGATTGCTACAGCCGGCGCGCTGCGCCAATCAGAAGCCAGGAGCCAGGTGCTTCCTCCTGGTCTCCCGAACGGGTGCAGGCGCCCAAGCACTTGGGCCATCCTCCACTGAACTCCCGGGCCACAGCAGAGAGCTGGACTGGAAGATGAGCAACCGGGACAGACTCCCGCGCCCCGACCGGGACTAGAACCCGGGGTGCCAGCGCCGCAGGTAGAGGATTAGTCTAGTGAGCCACGGCGCCGGCCCAGAAATTGGATTTTAAAAAAGTTAGACTCAACCATCTGCTGCCTACAATAAATCACTTTGAATAAGGAGATAAATAAATTAAAAATAAAAA